TCTAGATCAATAATCATTGAAAAAAAGTTGAACTTTGCCCTTTGGTTTACTGTAACAGGGTCATTTATAAGAAGGGGCGTGTCAAAACACACTCAAAAGCCTATAAATCATAAATAAAAACTCAGAACTTCACAAAAATTGGTGAGCATATGTGACATAACATCATGAACATGCATGAAAAGTTTCATGGAGATCAGACAATAGGTGGCGCTATAACAGTTGAAAAGGTTTAAAACCATGTATTTCCTATGGTAAATTGCCTGTATTGGCTGTAAATGGTCTTTTCCATCTATGATCGTATAATTTTTATATCTTAATGTTTAAAACCAGTGCAGTACAATTATCTGCACTCTCTAGATATATAATTATCAGAAAAGGTTGAACTTCTTCATTTGAATGGCTATAATAGTGTAAATTGGATGGCTGTAACATTTTGGATGGCTATAACAGCCAATAAGTGGTATTTTACTGCCCCCTGCTGTCATTTCATCATACTACTCCCTAATATTGTTATATATAATTGAAATGTAGACTTTATTAAATCATTATTTTAACATTTACAATCACATTTTGTCCAAATTCATCTATTGGAGTATTATGGACTGCATTTATTTATTTATTTTATTTATTACTATTTACAATTGTGTCACAGGAAGGCTAAAATACGAAAGTATAACGTTGGGCCACGCCCCCCAAGTACAAATTCACTCATAACTCGAAAACAGAAAGTCTCTGCACGCTAGGTAAGGTTCTCTCGGGGTTCTTGATCCAAATCTATCGTCGCGGGGCTCGGGAACGCCCCCCGCGACGAATTCTTAGTTAATGTTAACTAATGTAGTTAACATTAACTAAGAATGAACAATACTCCTTCAGCATTTTTTAATCTTTGTTAATGTTAATTTCAACATTTACAAATACTTTATTAAAATCTTGTTAACATTAGTTAATGCACTGTGAACTAACATGAACTAACAATGAACAGCTGGATTTGTATTAACTAATGTTAACAAAGATGAACAAAAACAGTAACAAATGTATTGCTCATGGTTCATGTTGATTAATACATTAACTACTGTTTAATAAATGAACCTTATTGTAAAGTGTTACCGATATTTTTTATCTTTTTTTATCAGCTTTCAGCATTGGCTAACAAACAAACGCTTAAAGCTATTTTTTTATTAGTTTTAATATAGTTTTATATTATTACATCACAAAGAAATATGTTAAATGCATGCTTATACACCATTAAAAGAGATTTTCACAATAACATATCCCGTGTGTGTGTGTGTAAGCACTTGTGTGACCAGCAGAGGGCAGTAGAAGACCACTTATTGGCTCACTTTCATTTTGACACACTTGATTAGGGATTGGAATTGATAAGAATTTAACAATTCCGATTCCATTATCGATATTGCTTATCGATTCGATTCCTTATCGATTCTCTTATCGATTCTCATTGGGTGAGGGAATAAGTACAAATTTGTTTGTTTGTATTAACTTATTGAACTTATAACTTATTTTGTTTGTTAATTATTATTAACTCGCTGACACAGCACAGAGTATTAGGGGTGTGAACCTACAATGGTCTCACGGTTCGGTTCGATTACGATTATCATGTTATCGATTCAGTTCAATTTGATATCTCGATGCATTACATGCACTGCATCCTCAATTTTACTTCAAAAGTGATGTGTGTGTGCATGCGCGTGTTCACCCGTTCGTGAAGTCGCAGTGACAGAAACAGTGACATTCCAGTTTAAGTTGTGTGTGCGCGCGTGCGTCTCATATGAGTATGTGCCTGGAGAGTTTCGCGCATCTCGGGTGTGTAGAGTTTGCATGTATGCGTGAGCGACTTTAGGTGTGTCGTTGTGCATTTCATATGTATTTGTTTGAGCATTCAGCAGTATACATGTATGTTTGACTACTTAGTATACGTGTATATGCAAGTGTTTCATATTTGTGTGCGTGAATGAAGTTTGATTTAAGCCCTAGACGGCACCTCATATATTGTCGTCTTTTCGCGTGAAATATAACCAAACGAGCGCTTCTGCCTCGATGTTATGTTTGATGCGTTCTGAATCAAAATAACGCAGCTCGTGTGTGACGTCATGACACATTTGCAACGAGCGGAACCGATAAGCGGAATCGTTAAGCAGGCATACTAACGGTTCCAGGGAATTGGTTAACTGGGCACCGGTTCTGAAGAAGAAACATGGTGAAACATGGTAAATCATTGTAAACAATACTATTACATGGTGTATCATGGCAAATCATGCTATAATCCTGCGGTAAATCATTCTAGAATGTGGTATATCATGGTAAATCATCCTATAACATGGTAAATCATGCTAGAATCATATTAAATCATACTAGAATATGTTCAATTGTGGTAAATCATGAACTTTTGCATTTTTCGTATGGCTATAACAGAGCCATTTAGAAAAGTCATTTAGATAGTGTTAGCTCCTCTAACACTATCTAAGTTCTGAGTTTCAGATTTTTTCACTTTCTCCTTCCCGAGATATAAGTAAAAAAAAAAAAGCGAATTTCCCGTCATTCATTTCAACCGTTTATGTAGGCTGTAAAACCGCTGTTGTCCACTAGAGGGAGCAACAGCATTAGACATTTTTAATCTTTTTAACCAGTTTTCAGCAATGGCTAACAAACAAATGCTTAAAGATATTTATTATGTTGGAAATAATATTTATAATAAATAATATAATATTAAATAATGATTTATTAGAAAGTTTAATATTTTTACATCACAAATAAATATCTGAAATGCTTAAGGACCACAAAAAGAGATTTTCACAATATCATAACCCAAAATTGTGTGTGTGTGTGTGTGTGTGTAAGCATGCACAATGGAATTCACATTGAAAGACTGGTTTGCTTTAGTGCACAATACTGATTAAACCAAGCAGTTCAAAATAAAAGTGGTACTATAGCAATAAGTGGTCTTCTACTACCCTCTGCTGGACATTATAATTATTAATAGTCTTTTCACATGTGCTTTTGCATTCATATATTTAGACACTAAAAAATAACCTTATGTGACAATTACTATAATAACACAATCATATTTTGTCTTTCAATTCACTTTACTGTTCTGAAGCTTCACATAATTGCTAGCAACGTGGTAAATCATGGTAAATCACGATAGAAACATGGTAAATCACAGTAAATAATATTATTACATGGTGTATCATGGTAAATCATGCTAGCAATGTGATTAATCATGGTAAAGCATGTTACAATCCTGGTAAATCATCCTATAACATGGTAAATCAAGGTAAACTAAGACAAATCAAGGTAAACTACGATAAAGCATGCTAGAATCATATTACATCATAGGCTACTAGAATGTGTTCAATTGTGGTAAATCATGCAAGAACAGGGTAAACCATGGTGAATCATACTAGAACTCGGTATATCATAGTAAACTATGGTAAATCATACTGTAACATAGTAAATCATTAACAATCACACTGAAATGTTGTATATCATGGCAAATCATGCTAAAACATGGTCTATTCCATCTATGATGTCAGTGGTTAAATGCTTGCTACATAAACCTTAATGTCTTTTGATGCTTTTGAGCTTAACTGTCTTAACTGTCTTAACTGTCTTAAATGCTTGAACACCGCTAAATGCTGCTAGCAGCTTTAATTTTTCTTGTTTCTGTTTCGTTTGAGCAAAGTTCTTGACCTTTTCGATATTATGCACAATTTTAAATCGTACAACAATAAAGGCATAATTTTGACACGAACGGTTTAAAAAGCCTATTTGTAAACTAAATTGAATGACCAAAAGCATTATTTTGATGTGTACGAAATTTAATGCACGACCCTGCTGTTGGATGGTTTCCTAATTTGTACAAAAATGTTTAAAATTTTTGTCATAGTGATAACATTTGTATCCTTCCCACAGTATGGCAGGAAGAATGTTTTTATAGCATCTCATTGCATTTTCAGATTTTTTGCAAATAATAAATGATTTAATATTAATAATGAAAATATTAATATGAGAAACAATATATAAAGTTATATATATATTTTTTATATTTTAGTGTATTGCTAGAAAATGACAAAATCGTAACAGCGTTGCAAATATCGCAGACCTCATATAATGAAAATAAAACAGCTTAAATATTAATTCTACCCTCCTGGGGTTGACTTCATTTTAAGGTTAAGCACCTGACTATTTGTGGAAAAAGTTTCAAGCCTTTTTTTCTCAGTATTATTTTAGTATTATGTATATACTATTATAGTGTTTATTAATATTTTGAATTAGCTTTTATTTGTACATTTTAATTTGAGTGATTTCATTTTAGTAATTTTGTGCTTTTGTCATGTTTTGTTTTAGTGCTTAAATTGCCCCTATTATGCTGTTTTCAAAGGTTATTAATTTGTCTCCTACAACAGTTTACATGTATCCAATGTCAAACAACACAGTGCAGAGTCACCTCTTTTCTTAAAGTGTATGAACCAGTTTGATAAAGGATCCTTTCTGAAAGCTTACTCTGCTCTGATTGGTTAGATGGCCCAGGCCCAGTGTGTTTGTGATTGGTCTACCGCTTACAAAGTGTGTCAGAAATGAAACCGCCATTACCATATCTGAATTTCAGCTCTGGATGCTTCCTTAGCACTTTATACACAGTGACTAGAACAGGCGTTGGTTTTACTGAATCAATTCGGAGCCAGAGTCCTCATCCTTTTGGAAGTGCATGGAAAGTGGATTTGCTTTCGCAGCGCAGAAATGTCGACGAAGTAAACACGAAGCAAACTCTTCCAGGCCTCCACTACAACTACAGTGTTTGAGTGCGGGTCAAGTAGTTTTTCATGTAATAGTTATATTGTTTTATCTCAGCTTTATTTCAATGAATGAAAATGTTTTTAATAGTTTTAGTTTTAGTTAACAATAACACCACTGGTTTTAGTAACATACTTTTAGAAAGTGTTAATAATGGTTGGTTGGTTGTGGTTTTTCTTGTTTTTCAGTTCGGCACTAGCAGCAGTGCGTCCTGGAGGAGTGGTTGTCTACTCCACTTGCACCATGTCACGAGCCGAGAACCAATCAGTTGTGGAGGCGGTCCTTGCGTCTTATCCAGGGGTGGAGCTTCTGGACCTGGAGCAACAGTTAATTGACTCTCTATCTGATCATTTCTACTTTGCCCACCTCCATCCTTCAGTGGGACAGTTAGTGATCCCGCTAAAGGGTAAAACTTGGGGACCTATGTATGTTTCTCGATTACGGAGAATATATTAAAAACGTACATAGGGCCATGGTGCAGCATGCAGTTGTACTTTTAACACATCAGAGCTGGGGTGTTCGCATGGGTTTGAGTCATGACTGTCCTAGCCCTCTTCACTAAACAAACAATACTTCACTTCAAAATACAATAAAAACTAATAATGTGAAGTATTATTACAATTTAAAGTAACTTTTCTATTTTATTATATTTGAAAGTAATTTATATCTGTGATGGAAGCTGAATTTTCAGCATCATTATTCCAGTCTTCACATGATCCTTCAGAAATCATTCTAATTTCCTATCAACGTTGGAAACAGTTGTGTGCTGCTTAATTTGGAAGCCATTATACATTGTCTTTCAGGATTTCAGGATAGAAAGTTCAAAATAACTGCATTTATTAGAAATAGAAATTGTTTGTGTCAATGTAAAAGTCTTTACTGATACGTTTGATCAATTTAATGCATCCTTGCGGAATTAAAGTATTAATTTATTTCCAAAAGAAACGTATTTTTGCAAGGTCATGTATATCTGATTGAAATTACATCTGAACTTTGATTTTTTCCATGCCACGGCAAAGGCACGGGTTAGGCAGAAATGTTAATCGCTGGCGACCCTCCAGCTGAAGCACCACTTAAGATGATCTCTCGCAAGTGAAGGCTGTTTTGAAATCTCAGAACGCAACACTTGAACAAGGTTTTGAGTAATGAATGCGGGCTCAGGTCTCTTCTCTTTTGCATAAGTGTTTTTAAACGTCTCAGCTGAACTGCTTGAGGAGGTTTCGCTGTTGTCAGCCTTTGAGCTCAATGACAAATTGTGTCTAATAAAACATAAAGTTTTCCTGAATCATGGAAGAGCACACCTTGAATGTTTACCATTAATATGATATATGAAAATGAGATCGCATGCACCTCGGCTCTTAGACAAGGTGTATACATTTAAGGAACAGTCTATAAGTGCTATAATAGCAGCATTGTAGCTTTATTTTTATGAAAAAACTTCAGCAGAGTACACAGGGTTATACATTAACAACATTATCCTATCCACTGCTTGTTGCTATTTCAGCTATACATAAACTGCACCTTAGATGGTTTATTTAACTATAACTGCATTTGAATATACAAGTATTCACTCCCCCAAAGATTAAACCTGGTTGGATCACCTCTGGCAGGATTACGGTTGTCAGCCTCCATAGCCTCCAAGTCGGTATTGCACGTCTTGATAATGGAATTTTTGCTCATTCTTTCGGAGCAATATTGCTCAAGCTCTGTTGCAGTATGTTTTAGGTCATTGCCCTGTTGGAAGATGAATCGTCTTCCAAAATTTCAGCGCTTTTGTGGATTGCTGCACGCTGTCCTCAGGGATTCTACTGTACGTGCCTCCATCCATTTTTACTTCTAACTTTATGAGTTTTCTAATCCTTGCCGCAGAGAAGCCAACCCAAAACTTGATGCTGCAACCAACATGATTCACTCTAAGGATTGTGTTCTTTGTGTGATGTACTACTAGGGTTTTGCCTAAAAGCGTGGAGGTCCAAAAATTCAGTTCATATGATTATTTCATGTTTCTGTCAAGCCCATTACATGCTATCACATGTTGAGCCTGTAATATTTGTCTTGCCACGCTCACTTGTAAGATATGAATTGTGCTGTTTTTGTATGCATTATACAATAAATAAGTTAAATAACCATTTTAATATGTATTGTTAATTCTATAATTATTACTTCTATTATTATGTCCCACAATTAGAGCTTTGCTTACAGCACACCAAACTATTTCCTTTAATACAGTTTTTTTAAGGTAATATAATATTCATAAACTATGTGAAGAAAATAGAGAAATCAAGTTAAATATCATTGAATGGAAAGTTTCTATTGTGCGTAATCAAATTGTGCCTTATTTCAGTTATTTTATTCCAAAAATATTAAAAAGGTAAATTATTTTAAACATGATATATAATTTGAGATGTGGTGGAAATGACACTGCGGTGGGAATTTTCACGACGTTCATAAATTCGGTAACACTTTATAATAACTGCACGCTATTAATCATTAGTTAAGAATTAGTTAACAGTTAATTCATCATTTATAAAGCATCAATAGACATTAATAATCAGCTTATATATACAGATATAAATGCTTTATTCTTGATTTATAAGCATATCTATAATATGTTTATTAATTGTATTTTCATACTTTATTAATTATCATTTCTAAATGAAGTATTGCATTATTTACAACCGATTATTTAGGAGTTGTCAGTGGTTCATACGATCACTTAGAATGTGTAGGTAAATGATAAATAAACTATTTAAATGTACATTGAGTCACAGGGTTATGTAGTAAAAAACTTGATTATTGAATTGTGTTAATTGAGTTGTGTAATCTTATGGTTACATACATCACAGTTTTGTATCATATCAATTATTAACTGTCTTGGGGCTGAGTTTTTCTCCTCCAAAACTTTTATATATATATATATAACCTGTGAAACCCTTAAAAGTGTGAGTGAAATATCATTGCACTTCAAAAAACTGGTACTTTCAGTTACACTCAAATTATCCATCCATAGTGTAGATAAGTTACATAAAGGTACAATTTAATTTCTGTTCTGAGGTACATTAACTGGTGCTAACTTCACAGATTTCTCACAATGTTGCTATTTTATGTACAATAAAACAAACTGGAATGTTTTTTTAGAGCAGCTCTGCTTGCATATGGAAGGAGAAAAAAATATCTCAGTGTGAGTTTGTGCCGGGATGGCAGGTGTCTTCGCCCTTCCATTTTCTGCATTGGGCTCCACTTGCCCTTTCAAATCAGTGAGCGGCTCATTCGCGCAGGAAATGAATTATTGCCTCTCAGAGGGAGAGAGGAAAAGAGGAGAGAGCGAGGAACGATAGACTGGAAACGTTAAAGCATACTCAGTAAAGATCGCGCAGAGTCCATTGCCGGTCTGAGAAATGGGCCCTGGTTGTGTAAAGACTTTAAAATAGCCACTGACATTTACACTAGCTCCCCATGTCTGCTGTTTTAATAATGCCACTGTGAGAAGGACAGAAAAAACTCACACACCTGTGACGAGTTGAGAAATTCTCCACTGTTCATTACGATTTTTATGGAGGAAACTGAATGCATGAAAGTTCAGGTTCAACCAAATTGGTCTCGCCTTCAAACGAATGGTGAGGTTTTGTGAAGATCTGGAATATTCTGACCAATGAGGGCAAAGTTCGCTCACATGATTTTTATTGTCGAACTTTTGAAATGTTTCCTTAATAAAACAAACAGAAGCAAGGAGAAAAAGCAAACAAACTACATGTCTGAAAACACCCTGATATAGGCTAAGTAACTTTGCAGCTGCATATCTCATTTGAGTAGACTGTTAGTAGCAGCTTTAGCAGATGTTAAGCAGTACACACTCACAGTTTACTCTTACTCTAAAGAGAGTTAGTTGTGACATGTGGGTGCAAACTTGCTTTTAGATAGTAGAATGTCTAAAGTGGATGACATGGTGGATTATCGAAATATCGTGTTACCTTTAATTTTAGGTAACAGTAACAACACTGCGCCCAAATAACTACTTGTTCATTTCGGTTTTGTACAAACTACACAGGTTTAATGATGATTTTCTTGTCACTACCTGAATCTTTGTGGCATGAATTCAGTTGTAAAATGCAGTCGTCACCCCTGTGAATAACGGAACTGGATTAAGCACAGTGTGTACGTGGCTCTTTTGTTTCACTTCAGTTCATGTGTAGCTGAACCGTCTCATCTATGTCCTCATGTGGGTGGCAGAGCGCTGACGACCCATACTGATATCTGATTTAATCTGGTGTTGCCCTTTGCTCTCTCTCTCTCTCTCTCTCTCTCTCTCTCTCTCTCTCTCTCTCTCTCTCTCTCTCTCTCTCTCTCTCTCTCTCTCTCTCTCTCTCTCTCTCTCTCTCTCTCTCTGTGTCTGTTTGATGTTCAGATTGCTTTCCTGGCCTGCACAGCAGATACCAAGCCAACTCTGCGGGTTGCTACACAGTCCCCAGTGTTAATGGGGGTCTGTTTATGACTGGCCTGGCTCTGCTTATAGAGGAAATATGCTCACAGCTTCAACAACAGTGTGTATGCCCATGCTCACCGAGGCATAGCTTATATTTGAGATGTTTTTGCCTCATTTTATTGTAGTTATAATGGACGGTTGTTATTTTGCAAACAATGTCACATTATGAGGCCTTGAGTTTCTTTTTCACTCTGATCTCTTATGTATAGGTAGGCTATTTGTAAGTAACCATCCATCCATCCATCCATCCCTCTGTCTATCCATCCATCTATTCATCCATCCAGGGAGAGAGAGAGCTTCTGAGGAATTTGAATACGATGCGGAAATATAATGGATTTATGCGTATGGTCATTTTATGGTGCGTTTGTCATATTTTTAGCTGTCCCACAGCAGTTTAAAATAAAGATGAAATGATTGAATAATGTTATTATTGTTGTTGTTTATGAACTAATTAAATTGTTTTACAGTTTAGGCTTGAATAAAGTTATAAAATCCTTAAAAAATTATTTTAATATGGCACCAGAAATCACACAGAAAATAATGAAACTCATGTCAAACGGTGTAAATATGCTAAATAAATGTGATAACATTTTACACATTTAATTAATCATATCGATTGAATGCAACAAATGTAATATTTCATGAACCTAAAAGTCATAAACCTTTGCATGTCTCCAAAGTTGTTCATATAAAAAAAATACATACAATTTACGTCAATAATACATTAACAGCGTATGTTTCAGTGACTATGCAAATGTATGAAAATATTTACACTTTGTGTATGAATACTTATACAATTACTAAGATAACATTTTTCACTGACAATGAAACCAATAGTCACAAACATTCCTAGTCGATAGATCTAAATACATGACTCTTTTAGTATCATAATCTGATATCAAAACAGCACAGGATATGATGGAGCAGCTTCTATGATAACAGACAGAGTGCACAAGTGAAACAGCTGTAATGAGTCAACTTCATCTCGCCTGTTAATTACTTCATACACATTCTGCACTGTTGCTTATGGGACTAATTATGAGGTAAACAGGCAACGATTTCAAAGTGTCTCCTCCAGAACGTTG